CTTTGGCTTTCTTTGGTTTTGTGGTTTTGGTTTTATAGTAGTAGTAGTAGTAGTAGTATTATTATTATTATTATTATTATTATTATTATTATTAACATGAACTTTTTCCCCTCTAGGGATTGGCTTGAATATGTTGTCCTTTCCGAAAGTCGTCCATTCCAAATGAGAAATAAAGCACCTGTATGTCAATCCACAGCACAAAAAAAGTCAATTTAAATAGAGCCATTCATTTTTTTCTTCTTCAAGTTACAATAAATCTTTTACAGCTTCCCCAGTGGATTTCTATTTTTAACCCAGTCTTTTAAAAAAAAATTAAAAAACAATGTACAAAAATAGAGCTTCTCCCTTATTTTTAGTGTAAAAATATCTCTCTGGTACAGTCTATTTTCGTAGTTTATTTGCAAGACACTGCCTCGGTCTTTTAACTGGGGTTGGTTGGTCGTATTCTCCTAGTCCTCTTCGTCACTGTGGTGTACTTGAAAGGTTTCTGTAACTCCACTTGTCCCTTTGGGTATCGTTTCATAAAGTGGACATCTTGCTGGTTCTCCCGGGTCTTGGGCCCTTTCCGAGGCCTCCCTTTTTTGGTGAATCCAACATACCAGCCTGAGTACTTTGCCGACATCAGGGCCGTGTAGTTGTTCTCCAAGACTTTTTCAATGAAGACACATTCTTTGCTGGTGCCATCCGGCTGCAAGGGAAACAAAGAGAAGCTCAAAAAGTGCCAAGGGTCTGCAAGCCATGGGACCGACGCACTTTCCCCTTCTAGAAGACAAGGGCAGGGAGGCCCCTTCTCCTAGAAGAGAAGCCCCCAAATCACTTCGAGTGTTACAGCTGCAACCTCCGTCAAGGGCAGAGGCGTGTTGCTACATTCAGCTCAAGGGCTGGACCTGGCTTTCGAGGATGGTGAAAGTGAACATCATTAAAATCCAAGTCAACTCAATAGAGGAAATATGATTACATTTAATAATTTCCTCTTTCTAACAGATTCAAAAGTATAATTTGGTGACAACATTTGGAAGCACTCTGGGGGCTTTGTCCCAGGCCTTCAGGGGCCTTGTGTGGGCCTGAAGCCTCAGGCCATTCCACCCTGCCCCAGAGATATATGTATGCCATGATAGTGTAGGGCTGAGGTAAAAGCCAACAGTTTGGAGTCACAGGACTCTGTTTCCTTCAGGAATGTAACTGTCCTTTGGTTAGAAAAGGAAGTTTCTAGCTTATATGGCTAGGGAAAAGTTTGTGAAATGATGGCTGACATTCTTTCACTTACCTGCCCATGAATAACAAAACCAGAATTATGCAGAATTGCAAAAAAACCGTGCAAAACAGATAACTCTTGCAAATACCAATTAGGCAATCTAGCCTTTTGACATTTAATTTTTATTACCTGGCTGCTTCCTGTTTTTTTAAACAGCCCAGCACAGAAGTGCATTCTAAATAAATGTAACATGCTCAGGCCAAAAGATTCCTTCCTATTCCTCCATAAAAAAGGGTCCATCATGCATGAAATTGTAACTGTCTCCTTGCTGCCACAATTGTAGCTGTATGCAGCCAAACCTTTTGTTCAATTCCATGGCTGGCCAAGTTCTCTTCCAGTCAAATTTCATAAGAGATTGCAGTCATATACACTTGAAAGAGAAGATGTAATATTGGTTTGCTTTCTTAAAAAAAAACCTATATAGTTTGTATTAAAATCTAGTTTAGAAGTATAAGCAAGTAATTCAGCAATATCAATGAAACCCTCTAATCAGACAAAGTTAGGGACAGAACCTAGCAAATCACATTAAGTTTCTCCATTAAAAGATTCATATATGTTAAATGGAAAGATCAAAGATAACTTACTTCTTTAAACTACACAGGCTGGACTTGTTTCAGAGATAAGTAATAATTGTAATGCTTATAATTTGTGTTGAAATAACACAGATGGACTATATTTGAGGATTTGTTTCTGCCAAGTTGGAGGCAAGAAGAAAATTCTTTAGCTTCTCTCTGGAATTGATCTATTGATTTCCTGCCAACATACAGGGGAGTCATAGAGATACGATCCTAGAGATCTGAAGTAATACTGTATGTTGTCTCTTTGCACCAAAAACTTGGTTCTTTCAAGCAACTGTGGCTGTTGCCAAATCAGCAACTTTCAGAACTATGAAAACACTACCATAAATGATATAATTCTAGCTCTCTGCATCTAGACTTAAGCAAAGAGGGAAGGGAGGAGAGGGAAAAGAAAAAAAGGAAAGTTAAGGCCAATCTAAAAATAAGGAAAAAATGTCCTCAGTTCACATTCCAATGCAAACTTAGTTTATACTTCCCCGAGCAATATACAAACTGAAACAGAGTTACATTTCAGTATTTGCACTTCTCCACACATTATGATATGGTTTCCCAATAAAAATGCATTCAAGCATTATACATGATTGCACACTTATTACATTTATTGCACACATATATTTATTATAATATTTTGTGCAAATACAAAAGTGTATATTGTATGCTATGAGAAAATGCTTGTGGAAATGCATCCATTTGGTGAAATGTGCAAAAAAATTCATTTTTATGCAGACTTAAAAAAATAATAACCTGATGCAGGAATGGGACAAAGTGAACATAAGAGTGGAAAAACAGGAAATTGAACAAATCTAAAATGGACAGATTCAACCATTCCTAGTCATCCAAAGATGTCACAAAGATGTTAGTCCAGAATAAACATTTAGTGCCTTGTCTGAGAACGCAGCATGTCTTAAATCAGGCTTGTTCAAAGTTATGACTCTAGCTCTTATTATTAGAATAAAATTAAGTAGATTGTTGTTGTTGCTGTTGTGGCTTTTGTCCCAAAGGTCCAACCTTTACTTTAGCATCTCAGTGTAGCATCTACTTTTAGGATGCCAATTCTTGCGTAAAACTGATGACCTGCAGAGCCAAAGAAAGAGCATTTCCCTGTCTTTAAAGTAGCAGAGTAATCAACATCCAAGAACGCTCTGATTTGGAAGATCACCACCACCCCTGCCCCAAATATCCAGGTAGTAAGAAAAAAAGCAAGCACTATGGGCTTGGTGGGTTTGCTTGTTCTCCACCCCATTCCCAGAAAAAGAAAAAAAGAAAGCTTGTCTTCAGTTCTAAGAAGCTAATTGCTCTCTCATGTCTTTATTTGCTCAATTTTCATGTTAACCCCTGCCTTCTCTGCTGCCACTTCCTTCCTCTGTGCCTGCTGGGATTACGACGCCACAGATGGTAGCTTGGCACTAGCAGCAGCTCCAGCCTGAGCACAACCCCTTCCTGCTGTTGCTGCTGCCTTTCCCAACCCCCCACCCTCCCAAAACCTCTTTTTCTTTGAAACCCTACCCCCCCCATGCTCTCCCAAGACATCTTCTCTTATCAATCACAATCTCCATAGGATAGCAAGT